TGCCAGCTGGTGACCAGATATGACAACAAAACACCACATAAAGGCACCTCATGCATTGCTGATTTTTTCCCATCACTAACATCAGTGCTAGGTAAGATGACAGCTGGTGAACAGATATGACAACAAAACACCTCACAAAGGCACCTCATGCATTGCTGATTTTTTCCCATCACTAACATCAGTGCTAGGGAAGTTGACAGCTGATGACCAGTTAATGGAACCTCTAACATCAGTGCTAGGTAAGCTGACAGCTGGTGACCAGATATGACAACAAAACACCTCATAAAGGCACCTCATGCATTGCTGATTTTTTCCCATCAAATCTCTTGTGAATTCAAATGATCAAATCTTATGTCTAGAATATTGCTTACTCCGATTATATCTTTTTTCTTTCTTATCTGATGGTATACACTGCAACATTTTTCTAGGGAAAAGTATATGTAACTTTGGCTATACTGAGTTAAGTGGCCGTCAAGAGATATACCACAACATTTATATGATATGTGTGATTTTGTCAAAGTTATCTCCCTTGATAATTATAATTCAGAATTACCTTATTATTAACAGTGCATGTATTATATTGTGTACCTTACAAATATGTCATCAAATCATATGTAACTTTGAAATGTTTCATCAATTCTGTGTGAATTTCAAATATGTCATCAGCTCATGTGTTCCTTCCAAATGTGTCATCAATTATTCAATCATATCCAAATTACCATTCACAAGAGAAGCTTTATAAAAAAAATATCTGTGAAACTCTTCAGAAATGGAGATGTATGTCATAGTACTGTACTCTGTATCCTTAAGGATTCATTAAGGGATTTTTGTATTGAAGTCCGGACTAGGCAACATACTTTTTCAATAAAACCTTAAAATTTGAAATTTCAAACCTGCTTAGTTATCTTGGGATTCTGTTTTAAAGTAGAATCTTAACTACATGTATTGATATAATTCTAATTAAATTTTAATTCACAAAATGAATCCTAATCAAATTTATAGGAGTGTTTTAAACAATTAATCCATGAATATTGGGACATTTTGACATCATAAAGTGTGTCTTGTTTTCACTGCTATGAATCAGAAAAATAAAGATTACAAAACTATTTAATTATCAATTAAATTAAATGACAGGTTCCTACAGGTGAATGCTTTCACTGTAAAGGACAGGCCTTATATGCAGGTACAGGACCAGGTGTAGATGAACAATTAAAATCAATTCTTAGTTCAGTCCATTTATAATGAGCAGTTAGACGAAATATTGATGTACTTGGTGCATGAGAAATAGCATGATGCTTATACCTGTACTTGTAAAAGTACAACCCCTTCACCTCTGTAGGTCGCCCCCTCATCGTAACAAGGACCTTCATAATGACATTTTAATCTTATTTCACAGAATGTACTTTTGTGAATGGAATAACAAACATTCCCCTGGTAGAGTTGTTTTTTTCAGAGCATTTACAGTACGAAATGATCAGCCCTAGACTGTACGTCTCATTGTTGTGAGCGTTTCTCAATTTGAAAACAAATTCTCGTAATGTAATTATGGTTCGGAGAACTTGTCTTGTACTGATAGACTGGCTACCGTCTCTGTAATCCATGATTCAGCTATCCAAACTTTAGTATAGCTTTACAGATGCATTGAATGAAATTTTTAAAATTCATTTTTGTGAAGTTATGTGTTGAGATACGATTATATTTTTGTAATTTATCTGGGGCAGATCAGTTTGTTTCCAGTTTAAATTATTCTCAATAAATCGCAAATCAAATTTTACTTGTATGCCATTGTTAGCTGATGATTAGTTTGATATAAAAGTTAATGTACTATTTAGGTTTAACGACTGTACTCAAATCATAATTGCAAATCCATATAATGAACGCATGATATTTTACCTCGCCTTCAAGAAATTGTGATGTCATTCCTGTGGGTTGAGTGTCACAGTAATGTACCCGAATGTATAATCACCTTGAGGCAATCATGACATTGATGTATTTTTGTCCTCTTTGTTTATTGTATTTTCTTCGTGCCTTCACACCTTGTGTAGGTGAATTACCTCAGGTAATGTCTGATCCAACGACAGACTGAGGAACCAGCTGTTCTGTGGCAGTTGATGATATTTTATAAACAAAATACATTGTGATTTGGCAAGTCAATTACTATACACTTTCAGTGTTTTGTACTGCAGGAAAATACTAGGAACATTTATTTAGGGAAAAGATTTTCCTAGATTATTTTGTCACTTTGTATTAAAATGTGTTATAATGTGTATTTATGGATATTTGAAAAACCAAGTTTGTCTGTTGTGTTTCTTATTTCTGGTAAGTTTAACTTCAATTAGCAAAGAATAAAGCTGATCTGTAGAAGATGAAATTTCCAGAAGCTAGTAAGATATCAGATGTCAAAAACTTGTTCATCATTAACAAGTACGTGCTGGAAATGTTAAAATCTGTCCTAACTCAGTCCCTATCTGATGGAAAGACTAGTGTACAGTATTTGACTTAATAAGCACACTGTGCGCTTACAAAACGCAATCAGGTGCGCTTGATAGATCCCTTTTATGCACAAACCAGCCAAAAGCAACTGTATTGGTATCTGTTTGAACTGACCTCCAAAATATTTATGCAAAACTTGAAAGGTTGAATCAAATAACTTTACAGAGACAATTGGTCTAACCTTGAATCTGAAAATAGTGTGCTAGACCACTTGGCTTACATTACCTAGTTATGTAAATGCTAAAGGTGCAAAGTCTTTGGTCAACAGACTGAGGATTATATTGGCAGATCACTGAAGTAAGCAACCCTTTTATGGGTTTTCTTTTAATTAAGCACATCCATCCTCTTTCCTAGAAGAATGGTCAGGGTGTGCTTATGGGGGCAGGTGCATTTATTAGGTAAAATACATTATTAGTTGCACAAACGTTCCCAAATTTCTCATTTAGAACCTAGCCACAAAAGATAATCACAAATCTATAAATAGGTTGAGGGTTAAAACCACACGGACCGACACAGTCACAGAAACAAAGTTCCTTTGTTCTAAATATACCTGCATGTTTGAATGCGATTGACTGTGACAATCCAAGACTGGCCTGGTAACTATAGTGATGAGAGAAACTGACATCTTCTGTGATAGCATCACAGGGAGACTCGTAAAACTTTGTTCCTGTGGTGCTTTAGGAGCTGCAATGCATGCTGGGAATGTTTCCACGTTCTGGCTGTGTGACATTGAAAACAATCACACGAATTTGCTTCTGAAGAATGACAATTTTAGGAATGCTACAGTTTCTGTTCACGTAACTCTCCGTGGTCTAACGACTTGTGGTGTTGGGCTGTCATTGACACTCGGAGGATAGCTTGCAGTTTCAGGTGCTACTGTCGACATTGAGAATGATTACCAAGGTTCACCTCGTCTAATGCTAATGTTAGTTGACTGTTTGAGGATCTTTGTTAATTTGAGGGGAACTGATGGCCTTACCAATTACACAATAACATTCATGGCGACCACATGGTGGTAATGTCTTGAACTCTCTGTTGTGTACCGATGCCTCCAACGTTTTAACAAATTTGTTGGTGCCAAACTTTAATCGCTGTGCACTATCTCCCTGAATAGCAAATTCATTTCAATTAATCGACCCTATTCACTGAGCTGTATGGTGTTGATTTACTACGATATTGTACAACATTGTCACCAGGAGAAATGATGCAGCATTTCGCTATATATTTTGCTATCTAAGAAAGTGAAGTTGGAAATGTTTCTTCAAACTAAACTATATAGTTGATAACCATGTCGGTAGTTTCTTGTGAGAGTTGCTCACAATTAGTATTGAAAGATAAATTTTACAAATGTGCATGATGTTCTACACCTTTCCACACCTGTTAATAAAACATACCTGTCTAAAAAGGACACCTGTCTATAATGACATCTATCTTAACCTCTATGAAGGAACACTCCTTTGGGAATGAACTCCATTTACAATCCCTAACCATATAATTACAACTGATAGCAGCATAAAAATATAATTCTTTTATCTAAATTTTTAGGCCTCAAATAGAGGTATATGGCATCATTCTCACACACTCTTGCTACCTCTCAAGGATGGCTGAGGTCAAGATTCCCTTGTACATTATGTATGCTGTTACAAGTTACCCATTCCATAAATTAAGTGAACAGGAAAAGTACATCTACATGTCACAAATATCATGTCTCATTTTCATATGTAGACAATTTATGTTTGTAAAATATTTCTTCTCGTGTCTTCTTGATCATTAAGATGTTTCAAATTATACCAATGACACAAGTATCTCAGTGACCAAGAGTCTGAATTACTGCAGACTGCAGTAATGTGGATGCCAAACGATTACTGAACTTAATACAATGAGAGACATCTCTTTACAATAGCTACAAGTGCAATAAAGTCAAGCTTATTAATCCAGCCACCCAAGTCAAGTTGTCTCATTATACAAGTCTCACTGTAATACCAGCCATTGTTATTTACCGTTTTACATTGAAATGTGTTTTAGTAATCCAGCCTATAGCCACAACACAGCCTCTGATAACTGGAAATGAAGGTGGCTCGGCTGGCTCAACATTTAGTCTTGGCTGTAAGTCGGTTGGTCCACCGCGGGCAATAACCAGTGCCTCGACAAAAGTCGTTCATTGTCATCAATACCCATTGGAAAACTGTTGACTATTTCAGAAAGATGGAAAACTTAAGCATTTGTCTTTTCTTTAGTAATGTTTTTTCAATAAAATATCTTGTGTCTTACTTTGGCAAGTGTTAACTCTAACATCAAATATCTATTTTAGTGGTTCTGGCATTATTAAGCCTAAATTGATATTGTTATGTGAAATATCTATCGAGGAAGTTCAAAGTGTGAAGCAACTGTCTCATTACATTAAATAAGTAATAAAGGAGTCACTATAAGCATAAAGTTGTGAAATTGTTGATTTTTTGTGTCAAATAAAAGTTGGTTCTAGCATAAATTTACATAAATTATCTTACCACCTTTGTTCATTGTTGTTCCCTTCCTCCTTGGAACAATTGTCTGGGTCCGACTCGAACATTTACCTTTGTGGAACTCGGTGCGTTCAAAGGGACTCCCAATCCTTTGTTTACTCACTAAATGTTTATCTTCACAATGCATGCATCTACAAGCATCTATAAGTACCAGACAATGTTTGATGGTCTGGAGGTGGGGGACAGGGACGCTGGGCCATTGCTGGCAGAATCACAAGAAGGCATCGTGACTTCCTTATCAATTAACATGATACATTCCAGCCTAACCAACTTGTCGGTTTACTTAAAATAAAATCCACCAAAAGTAAGTCAAATAAAAAAAAATCTGCTGATTAAAAAATGGCAATGGTCGGTGTTGCTAATTACATGTGACGAATCTCAGCCCTACTGAGAACTATCTAGGTTTGTGTGGTCTTTGTGTTGTGAACAAAAGTTACAAAAAACATCATGTCACTGTTGCTGTTGATACGCAACAAATTCAATGTCTACAGGCAACCAACTTCAGGGGCAGGAGGGCATTGATATGTTAAAGGTAACTTTTCTGTTTCTTCTTCCGTCATTCCCCTTCCATTCTTGATCATTCTATACTGTCATCCCTGTCTCATTCCTGCCTTATTCATCTCCTTTTATCCTTCATATATCTCTTTTCCTATCATCAAGTCCCCCCCCCCCCCCCCCCACACACACACACAATTACCCTACTATGTCTTTCACTAGTACTGCCCCTCCTCCACAATTACCCTACTGTGTCCTTAACTAGTACTGCCCCCTCCCCCCCACACACACAATTACCCTACTATGTCCTTCACTA